CTTTGGGGGCCGTCTTGGGGCTTTTGGGGGTCGTCTCGGAGCCTTCTTGGGGGCCTCTTGGGCTATCTTGGGTCGATCTCGAAGGCTTCTTGGGCCGTTGTAGGCTTCGTGAGAACCCGAGGGGCGAACGTGACAATATTAGTTTTCCCTCCGGAATGGGGTGGTTTTTGCTTCTGGAGGGCCTCGTGGGGCGCTTCTTGGTGGTTTCTTGGGGCGTCTTGGGGGCCTCTGGGACTGTCTGGGGGCAATCTTGTGCGTCTTGGAGCGATCTATTGGCGACTTGTAGCCCTCTTGGACCGTCTGGCAGGCCTTTCGGAGCCCCCTTGTCTTGTTTTTGGGCCTCCTGGGGCTCCAAGGGCGCTCGCGCGCCAACTCGATGATGCGCAATTCACGCCCCGCCCGCCCGACCCGACCCGCCCGCCCGTCGGGGCCCGCCCGCCCGACCCGACCTGCCCCGCCCGTGAGGGCCCGCCCGACTCGCCCCGCCCGTCAGGGCACTCGCGCGCCAATTCGATGATGCATCATACTGCAATGTCCCGCCCGCCCGACTTGATCCGACTCGCCCGTTAGGGCCCGCCCGCCCGCCGAGCCCCTCGCGCCCGTCAGGACACTCGCGTGCCAATTCGCTGACGCATCATACTTTCAATGTCCCGCCCGCCCGCTCCGCCCCGCCCCGCCCGTTAGGGCCCGCCCGCCCGCCCGGCACCTGCGCCCGTCAGGACACTTGCGTGCCAAATCGCTGGCGCATCATTTTTTTAATGTCCCGCCCGCCCGCCCCGACCCGGCCCGCCCGTTATGGTTCGCCCGCCCGTCCCGACCCGCCCCGCCCGTTAGGGTTCGCCTGACCCGCCCTTCCCGTCAGGGCACTCGCGTGCCAATTCGATGATGCATCAGACTTTAAATGTCCCGCCCGCTCTACCCGACCCGACCGCCCGTTAGGGGCCGCCGCCCGAACCGACCCGCCCCGCTCGTTGGGGCCCGCCCGACCCGTCTCGCCCGCGTTAAGGCTTTCGCGCGCCAATTCGCTGATGCATCACACTTCAATGTCCCGCCCGACCCGAACCGGCCCGCTCGTTAGGGTTCGCCGTCCGTCCCGACCCGACCCGACCCGCCCGTCCGTTAGGATATTTGCATTCCACTTCGATGATGCGCCATGCTTTGATGTCCCGCTCGCCCGACCCGCCCGACCCAACCCGCCCGTCAGGGCCCGCCCGCTCGACCCAGCCCGGCCCGCCCGCCAGGGCCCGCCCGCCCGACCCGACCCGCCCGTTAGGGCCCGCCCGCCCGCCCGACCCGACCCGCTCGTTAGGGCCCTGCCCGCCCGAGCGGACCCATCCCGCCCGTGAGGGCCCGCCTGCCCGCCCGACCCGCCCGCTAGGGCATTCGCAGGCCAACTTGATCGCGCATCGCACTTTAATCTCCCGCCCGTCCGACCCTACCCGACCCGCCCGTCAGGGCCCGCCCGCCCGACCCGACCTATTCTGCCCGTTCGGAACCGCTCGCCCGCCCGCCCCCCCCGCCCGCCAGGGCATTCGCAAACCAACTCGACGATGTATCCTCCTTTCATTTCCCGCCCGCCTGACCCGACCGGACCCGCCTGCTAGGGCCCTGCCCGCCCGCCCGGCCGGCCCCCCCGCCCGCGAGGGCATTCGCGGACCATTTCGATGATGCATCGCACTTGAATGTCTTGCCAGCCCGACCCGACCCGCCCGCTAGGGCCCGCCCGCCCGCCCCGCTCCGCCCCGCCCGTTAGGGTTCGCAGGGCCCGACTCGCCCGTTAGGGCATTCGCGTGCCAATTCGATGATGCATCGTATTTGAATGACCCGCCCGCCCGACTCGACCCGACCCGCCCGTTGGGGTCTCCCGCCCGACCCGACCCGCCCCGCCCGTTAGGGTCCGCCCGCCCGCCCGAACCGACCCGCCCGCGAGGATGCTCGCGCCCCGCCTTGATGATGCGCCGCGCATAATGTCCCGCCCGCCCGACCCGACCCGACCCGCCCATTCGGGTCCGCCTGCCCGGCCCGACCCGACCCGCCCGCGAGGGTCTGCCCGCCTGACCCGACCCGCCCCGCCCGCCTGGGCCCGCCCCGCCCCGCCCGATAGAACATTTCCATGCCAATTCGCTGATGCATCATACTTTTTAATGCCCCGCCCCGCCCGATTCGACCCGCCCGTTAGGGCCAGCCCGCCCGACTCGACCCGTTAGTTGGAGGCAATTCCTGGGCGGGGCGGGGGACAGGGTGGCGCCGCGCCCCGCGCCGCGTCCCACCCGCTCAGTTGCCCCCAAATGACCGCCTGTTGGAGGCAGCTCGCAGCTGAGTTGCCTCTAACTGACCGTCAGTTGGCAATTACAGTTGGAGGGGACCCCCAGCTGAGTTGCATCCAACTGACCGTCAATTGGAGGCAACTTCAGCTCAGTTGCCTCCAACTGACGCTCAGTTGGAGGCAACTTCCGGGAGGGGCGAAGGACGGGGTGGCGCCGCGCCCCGCCCCCTGTCCCGCCCGCTGCGTTGCCTCCGCCTGACCGTCAGTTGGATGTACCTTCCAAGTGAGCCTCCAACTGACCGTCAGTTGTAAACGACTCCAAGTGCGAGCCGACGCCGACTAAAAGTTGGAGGCGATTCCCAGCTGAGTTGCTTCCAACTGCCGTCAGTTGGAGGCAACTCCCAGCTGAGTTGCCTCCAACTGACCGTCAGTTGGAGGCAGCTGACGGTCAGTTGGAGGCAACTGACGGTCAGTTGGAGGCAGCTTACCAGGTCAATTGGAGACAGCCGACCAGGTCAGTTGCTTCCAACTGACGGTCAGTCGGAGGCAACTGACCACTTGAGTTGTTTCCAACTAACGGTCAGTTGGAGGCCACTGACCAGATGGGTTGCTTCCAACGGACCGTCAGTTGGAGGCAATTGACAAGCTGAGTTGCTTCCAATTGACCGTCACTTGGAGGCAGCTGACCAGTGACCAGCTGAGTTGCCTCTAGCTGAGCATCGCTTGGAGGCAACTGACGGTAAGTTGGAGGCAATTGACGGTCAGTTTCCATTGCATCCGTCCCGCCCGTGAGAGCCCGCCCGACCCGCGAGCCCGTTGGGTGCTCGCGTGCCAATTCGATGACGCATCCTTCACACGTCTCGTGGCCCCACAAGGAGCTCCACCGAAGGCCCCCGTGGCTGGGCGCACATGGTGACCCGCCCCACTTCGGCACACCACTCACACGCTTCGTCGCCCGAGAGGGGGGCTCCACCAAAGGCGCCAGTGGATGGGTTCACACGGTGACCCGCTCCATTTCGGCACACCCCTCACAAGTTTCGTGGCCGCAGGGAGCTCCACGGCGCCAGTGGATGGGCTTACATGGTGACCTGCTCCATTTCGGCACACCCCTCACACACGTTTCGTGGCCCCACAGGGAGGTCCACCGAAGGCCCCGGTGGATGGATTTACATAGTGCCCCGCCCTATTTAGGCACATCACTCACACGTTTCGTGGCTCCACAAGGAGCTCCACCGAAGGCGCCAGCGGCTTGGTTCACATGGTGATCGGCCCCAGTTCGGCACACCTCTCGTTCGTTTCTTGGTCTAACAGGGAGCTGCACCGAAGGCGACAGCGGCTGAGTTCACATGGTGACCCGCCCCACTTCGGCACACCCCTCACATGTTCCGTTGCCCCACATGGGGCTCCACCAAAGGCGCCAGTGGATGGGTTCACATGGTGACCCGCTCCATTTCGGCACAACCCTCACGAGCTTCATGGCCGCAGGGAGCTCATCCGAAGGCCCCCGCCGCTGGGTTCACATGGTGTCGGTGCCCAAATTCGGCACACCCCTCACACGTTTCGTGGCCCCACAATGAGGTCCACCAATGGCCCCAGTAGATGGGTTTACACAGTGCCCCGCTCTATTTCGGCACATCCCTCACACGTTTCGTGGCCCCACAGGGGGCTCCACCGAAGGCGCCAGCGTCTGGGTTCACATGGTGCCCCGCCCAATGTTGGCACACACACACACACACTTCACACGTTTCGTGGCCCCACATGAGGCTCCACCAAAGGCCCCCGTGGTTTGGTTCACATTGCGTTTCTGCCCCATTTCGGCACACCCCTCACACGAGTCGTGGTCTACAGTCAGTGCCGCCGAAGGCCCCAGTGGTTGCGTTCGCATGTTGTCGCCTCGCCCGTTTCGCTTCGCCCCGCTCAGTAGAGTGTGGCCTTGCGTTCTTCGTCGAAGCGTTCAGGGGTAGTTCTAATCCGCCAGTATGGCTATGCGCATTGAGTGCTCCTGCACATAGGCGCCACGCGTTAAATTAGTGTTGGGTTCTTCGCCAGCGTGATCGGTTGTTGCGATGTTGTTCCTTTGCTGCCGCTCTGTGTTTTCAGTGTTGCCAATTTCGGATGGCTAAACAGCCTTTGCCTACTCCATCCCCGCAAGGAGTACTCGCATCGGCATGAACATAGCACCCATGCACATGTCGCTGCGTTCTGTCTGTATTTTTTTAGCACGTGCGGAACACATGCACGCCACGCATATCTGGCAAGACACCTCGCCAGGATGATGGACCGCTGCAATGCTTCTCACCAGCGTGGGGTATCAAACGTGTACGTCACACCTAGCCTTGCCATTGATATGGTGGATCGCCACTTCACGGTTCGTCATTTGGTGCTTGAGCTTCTCGGCTCGGAGAATCGCAGATGAACCGCAGGAATGATCGAGTTTTTGCCAAGCTCGTGCAGCTTTGGGTTCACAGGGTCCGGCATGCTGCTGCATCGCTGCCGCCTGTGCTGCTTGCCATGCCGCCGCTGTTTTCCTCTGCATCCCACCTACCTCAGTCATCCTGCTACGCTCAGGCGTGTCGTAGACCGTGCCCTGCGCTGTATATGCCAGGGGAGCAGGGCTCCGAAGGGAAGGACGAGATGTGTTGGAAAGAACCACAATGGCGGACGAGGAGGGGGCGTCAGTGTTGCTTCACTCACGTGTCCTCGAGTGGCCATCGGGAGCCCTCCCTGCACCGAGGCCCAAGATGCCATCAGGAAGGCGGCGAAGCGGACGAACAGCGTTTTCGCCGATAGCAGGTTTGTCGGCGGCATGCTGACCAATTTCCGGTGTCGCCAAGAGGACACGCCCTTTCACCGGTTTTGGCTGACCAGCAGACGCATGATGTCGGGTTGAACGAATTGATTGCGGCATTGGCCCGAATATTTGATTCCTCGTCTGGGCCGATGGCCCGAGTGTACTGTTTTTGTCGCTGACCCGTCCAATTCTCCATTTCACCCAGTCTTCGATCATTTTGTTTATTTTGATTGCAGCCTTCATTGAGTTCTGCCTCCTGGTAGGCTGGGAAATCGGCGGCGAGGCTTGAGAAATGGAAGCGCTTTTGAGGGGCTGTTGGGTCTAAGAGGTCTTGGCCCTCTGAGTCTCAGGCCCCAGAGCAATTCTGGAGCATGTGTTTGGGCACTCATCTGCAAATCTTGCTGGGGCCACTCGTGTCCAGGACGATTCTGCGAGCACCCTGGGCAGGAGTGCTCACCGCCAATCGTTCACAGCTTTCCTCGGTAAGGAGAAGCCGTTGGAGGAGGGAAGAGCGGGAGGACGATGACACAGGAGACAGGCAGTGGTACGAGTCTTTTCTTGCAGGAGCTGCTCGGATAACGATGTCGTCTCTGCCTGTGTGGGGCGACGCTTACGAAAGTCTGGCGATCTGTCTTTTCGTGCCTGCCGTGAAGGTGCAGCACCGCCTGCCTCTTTGGTATGGATGGCGCCGCCCTGGGAACTGTCCTGCACGAGGCCTTCCGAAGAATCCTCCTTGGGTTCGAAGCTTTGCGGAGGATCTGCTGAACCTCTCGGTGCACTCGACGTTGGCAACGGCGTTGCCAAGAGACTCAAGAGGACCGGAGGCTTGCTGGAGCTCAGTCCGAGGATGACCACGGATGCCTCTGGACTCAGGGGGCCTCCCGAGGGAAACCTTGCGAACGAGGGTCTGCGGGGTGCGTTGCGGGCCTCGCGACATGCGATTCAGTTTCCACTCGCTCCGCTCATTCCGCCAGCCCATACCGTACGTTGTGCTTAGTGGCCTTCAGCCGGACTGGGTCGTGGACAAGAGGCCCTGCTGGGAGACTTATTGGGGTCTCTTGGGAGGCCCCTCAGGGTCCTCGAGGCGGCATTTGGTTGGGGGCCTTTTGGGGGCCTCTTGGGACCTCTCGGGGGTGTTTCGGGGGACCTCTGGGGGCCTGGTGGGCCTCGCCACATGTGACTCAATTGTTTCCGTCCCTGCTGCCACAGGCCCAATTTAAGCGGGCCCCAGAAGCGGCATGGTGCAAGAGCGTGTCTCGAGAGCGCAGCAGGTAGACAGCGGCTCACTTGAACGGAGGCAGGCGGCGGCCAGAACACAAGCGTCACTGCGGCGAGAATTGCATTCGACGATGGCCGAATCGGAGAGGGACGTTGTGGGGGGGGCGGGAGGTCCTGCAGTTTCTGGTGCCCACCAAGCCTCCGAACGATTCCAGGCTGCTTCCCTGGGACGTCGTCCTCCTCCTCTTCCTCCTCCGCCTTCTCCTCCTCCCTCCAGTCTATCTGTCTCGCATTGCATGTGTCCAGACACGCCAGAATCCAGAGGTCACAGCCTCATCCACCTGGTCTGAGCCAGGCCCAGACGCTTGTCCGCTGCGGTGTTCGTTCGTTCGTTCGTTCAGGAACGTCCCAGGGACTTCTAAAATCTTCTGGGCCTTCCCAGAAGCCTCAGGACTTTGCAAGGAGGCCTCCCAGGACTTCCTGGGAGATCCCCAAGCGCATGATAAGCTTCCCATGGCTCCCCCTAGAGCTTCCCAGAACTTTTAATTTCCCGAGAGCTTTCAAAGATCTCGCATGAGTTTCCCTGCTTTTGCGAGAGCTTCTTCTCAGGGCTTCCCATCTGGTCCTTGGAACTTCCCAGTCCAAGATACCCCAAGGCCCCCCCGAGATTCCTAGAGCCTCCCAGGGCTCCGGGGCCCACAAGGATGCTGCTAGAGCTTTCAAGAGCTTGCCAGCAGCTGCCCAGGAGTCTTCAAAGCCCTCCGTTTTCCTCTCTCCCCTCTCCCTCTCGCTCGCTCACCCTCTCTCCTTCCAGGCTTCTCGGCGTCTCGCTCGATCATGCTCACGCACTCTGCTGCCGCAGGTGCACCGCCTTTTGCGCCACCGGTGGCGGTGGCTTTGCCGTCATTGCCTTGGCTGCCGCAGCGGTCGCCCCCCGTGCCCGCACCCCCGACCTCGGACAAACAGCGCGGCTTCCAGAGTATCCAGTTGATGGAAGCCATGGCCAGGGCCCCAGCTCGTGGCGGCCCGAAGGGCCTGCTGTTGGGTGCTCCACGCTCGAAGCGGTGGAAGATCGGGGGGCGGGGCCGGGTGGGGGTGGGATATGGGGGAACGGCAGGAGGGGAATCGGAGAGTGGGGAGGAAAGTCAACCGTGTGTCAGACGACGGAGAGGTACCGATAGCGCTGCTCATCCTGGAGATTCCTGGTCGCCACGGCTGGATTCTCCTCCAAAATGTTGACCCTTCGTGTATCCCCACCAGTTCCGTAGCCTGGCTCAAGCCGTCTGGTGGGCCTGCTCCCCTCGGGGCAATCTCCCACCGCTCAAGGGGGCGCCCGGACGCTGCTCGGCGGGCCTGCGGTCCTGGGTTCCCTCGGGCCCCCCGGCGCGCGCCCGCCATACCAGCAGCGGCGCTGTCAGGCAGCGCGGGCCGCAGCCGGACCCCCCCTTGCAGCAGACTGTGCCAACGGGTGGGCCCCTTGGCGGCCGCGGCCAGATGGAGGGCGGGGAAACCGATCGATCTGACAACATCGAGGGGGGCGGGGACCACTCAGTGCAGGGCGCGGGAGCCCAGTCATTGGCCACGGTCGAATTCCCCTCAGGCCCCATTCAGGTCCAGAGTCCCCACAGACAGCAACCTCCCCCCTCCATCGGGGCAGACCAGACAGGCGGATCAGACGCGAGCGAAAGGGGCACGGGGACGGACGCCCTGGGAGGGCCAGGCCCCGACCACCTGTCCTCTGGACCCACCCTGGACCCCGTCCTGATCCCAGTTCCGTTCGCGCCTCCTCCCTCCCCCCGCAGGGGGGCAGGCCGTGAGTGCGAAGCGCCAGCAGCAGGTTCCACCCAGCCCCCAGAGGCCGAGGACGAGGTTCTCGTAGGGAACCAAGAGGCGTCCGTGGACGAGGTCTCTGGAGAGAGTCGACGCGAGTTCAACAAGCCCATAGAAGCGGACGGCGCTGGCCACCCGCCACGGGGGCAGGCAACCAGACCCCCCCTTGCAGTGACGGGTACCTCATCTCACAGGCCGCTAGGTGAGGATGGAAGAGCGGACCCCGAGCAGACAGCGCCGCGCCAGAGGGCCGTCCAACCCTCCTCCTCCTTCATTACATCGGTGACAGCGGCTTTTGGCTGCGCCCCCCCGCTTCCTCCTCCTCCTCATGACCAGGATCTGTGTTCGGCGGCTTTTGGCTGCGCCGCCAATTCCCCCCCTCCTCTCAACCAAGATACATCAGTAACAGCGGCTTTTGGCTGCGCCCCCCCCATAACGAGATGCCGATGAATGGCGCCGGTGGCCGCAGGTCGCCAGACAACCCCCCCCAGGATCGAGCCCCGCCTGCGCCCAGGACGGGCGCGCGGGGCGCCCACGATGACAGCGAGGATACCCAACCCAGGAGCCCGCTGGTTTTGATCAGAGCCAGCAGGGGGGAATTCCCGCTCACTCCGCCCTGCTCGCTCCCACGCGCCCCCTCCGCCGCCCTCCCCTCCCCCTGCGGGTTCGGGCGAAGCCAGCGAGATCTCCCCCGCGCCCCCCTTCCACCCGATCGGGATCGATGCCGACAGCGGACGGCAGCCATGGGATCAGGTCGACTGGGAATGGCTTCTGGAGGACCGCGAGCCCAGCGGAAACACCCCCGACAGCGACGCGCGCCACGATTGGGGGGACCCCGAGAAGATCGATGACGGATCAGCCACCCGCGCCCGCGGTCGCCGGTTCACTCCACCTCCAGGCCTTCCCCTGTCCCCACCGCCAGGCTCAAGGCTGTTCAGTCGGGAAGGGCAGGCGGCCGACCTTGGTCACGGCGTAGAACCAGGTCTTCGCAGGCCCCTCCCCCGCCCCAGGCGACGCGGCACCCGCGACGCCGACGCGCTGTCGTCGTAACTGTTGTCGTTGTGATGACCTTGCCCTCCAGCGCCCTCACGGTGAAGCCTGGTCGTCAGATCTGCAGTCCAAGGATATGGTTGGCTGCGCAGAGCCACCCCTCAAGCAGGAACTGAAAAGTGCTGCACGCGGGCTTGCGCACAGCACCAGCAGTGGTAAGGGCGCAGGTCTTGCTGCAAGCCGAAACGACTTGAGAGGAGGAGGAGGCGGAGGAGGAGGGGGAGGAGGAGGAGGAGGACGAGGACGAGGACGAGGACCAGCACGGAGCAGGAGTGGCTGCAGGGCACGGCGCCCGGGCACGCGGGCAGGCGCCGGCGCCATCATTGGGAGCAGCACCGCGGCCGCGGGCAGAGAGGGAGGCCCAGCTCCGCGCTCAGCCGAGAGGCACGCGGGAGGCTGGCCCGTTGAGCACAGGCCGGGGGGGGGGGCAACGATAGGGGGGATAAACGCAGGGGGGGAACGCATCGAGGTCCGAGGTTTTCGGGCGTTTCCGTCGGATCTCGCCGGTTTTCTTCGGCCTCGGGATGCTCTCCAGCATCTGCTCCTGGGCTGCCCGGCTCGTCCCGAACGGCCGCCAGAGGCCCGAGCTATAGTTCGAATGCTACAAGAGAGGGGGATAGGCGCAGGGGGGGGGGAATGCATCGATCCCCGATCGCCCCTTCAGCGCCGACAGGGGCCCGATAGCACACCCCGCCTAGGAACGTGCGAATTCGATATCGGGGGCCCATCGCCCACCTATCGGCGGTGCATCGCCGATTCCAAGTGGATGTTCCCCCCGGGAGCCAGCCCCCCCCTATCTTTGCCCTTCAGGGCCGGAGCACGGGGGCACTACTCGGTACCATCGAAATGGGTACAGAAGAACGGAGACGAAGACCGACAGCAGTTCGTTCTTGCCCATGTCGTGTCGGTTTCGCCGCTGGCGTTGTCCATTTGAGACCCAAGGATGCCTGCCGAAGAGCGGCCGCTGCCGGTTGTGGACGACCTTTGCTGTTGGGCATCATACCCATTTTTCCCGTACAGTCGGACCGAGGTATAAGATCGAGGTCGGTTCGGGGAGGATATTTTAGCGGTCTTCGTGTTGGTTGGATGTTTGTGTGCACCCTGGGGAGGTTACCCTTGGATGTTCTCTTTGTTTTGGCCGAGGGAGTGTCCCATGTTTTTGACTGGCCTAGTTTCGACTGTACCCGTGTTGGCCGTGCCCAACTAAGGAGAAGCAGCAGGCGCAGGGCGTGTGGGAAGGCGACTCCGAGGCGGCCGCACGCGCCCCTCTCCCTAGATGTCTGACGATGTGTTTTTCCCAACCAACCAGCTCGTCCTCCTTCTCATCCCCCTCCTCCTCCTGGTCGGCGTTGGAGGGTTAGGCACTTTGAGGACCGACGGAAGGAGGATTTCCTGAAACTCTTTCACACGACTACCGCCCCAGCACTTACACGGGCCAGAAAGGGAGCGGGGGCATGGAATATAGATGGCTGCAATCGCATTATTTTCGATATGTGCATTGATGAAACTGGTATTTTACAACCCATTAGCGGCGCATGCCACGGACAAGCTGGGAGATACTACCGGGAAGCTTTTATCAATGAAGTGGGCCGGCCCGGGCTGGGGCTGAAATCAAAATGGAAATCTTCTTTGATTTCGCCGCTGGCCTGTGCGAGATCTCATTTTAGATAGCGGTTGCAGTTTTGTTTTTGGCCTTCATAGATTCCGAAACTCGCCCTTTCCATTGTTTTCTGTTCTTGTCTTGATTGTTTTCAATGTCATGTTGGCCATGTCTTCATATGGCACCGTTGTCCAATGAATTTGTTGGCGGCCTTCGTGGCGGCATCTTTTTCCTGGTCTCTTTTGTTTTGATTATTTCTGAAGCCGGACATTTTAATCAATTTTTCCGCCCCGTGGGGCGTTGCAACGCACCCTGGTACGATTATTGTGGTTCCCCCCCTCGCCTGGAATGTTGAAATTCGGTTTCGCGCCCAGCCGGCCGGGGCAATTGCGCATCGAAATAACCCAAGGTTGAGGTCGGCATTGGCCCGCCGCGGCACTTGGCTTCACCAGCCGATTGGTGGTCAGGGGCGTTTTGCGGTGCTCTTGGGCACGTTGTGGGTATCGCAGGCAAGTTGTGGCGCTCTCAGGCAGCGGTGGTTCGCGGCCCTGATGCTTCGCCCATGCCTTCACGGCTGGTCGGTTTTCCGATGTCCGTTCGCTACCGCGCCGCGCTTTACCGCGCGACGCACCATGGATTTGTCACGTCTGGCGGGCCGCACAGCCAAAGTCCGATCCAAAAAAAAAGCAAGGCACACTCGATATGGATCAGCGGCGCGGGGCGTGAAATTGCGTCGGTACCGCGGGCGTCGGCTGCATCGAATTCCGACGTGGGTTCGCCCCCCGCGACCTGACCTCTGAATTTGTCCATGTCTTCTTCTGTAGGGTCGGGGGGTACAACTTGGCTCATGCACCCGAGTTCCCCATTGGGTTGCCCTGCGCGGGGCTGGCGGAATGGTCATGAGATCGTTTCACAAAGGGGGTCGTCATGAATCATGCCGTAGCGCGCGCTCGAGGAGGTAGGATGGGGGAGCAACTTCGAGTCCGAGGATCAGGAGGAGGACGACGACGGGGAAGAGAAGGAGGAGGAGGAGAAGGGGACGGAGGTGTGTGTCAGTGGCATGCGGGGCCGTGTCGGCACTTCGTCGTTATTCGGTCCACGGTCTTGCTACTTATTCATTTCATGCTCTCAAGGCAATTAGTGGCGCTTCGCATATCTCCAATAGCCCATCCAAGAACGATTCCCACGCGAGCGGCCGGGAGAGAGCAGAAAATAATAACAGAATCCCCATCGCTACGGATGGAGCCCTTTCTCCCCCTCCTTCCCTCCCCCCTCCCCCTCATCACCATCACAATAATCATCGCCATCATCGTCATCGTCACCATCATCAGAATCATCAGCATCGTCATCGTCATCGTTATCATCATCACCACCATCACCATCATTTCATAGACCATCAGATGTTTCCTCCTCTCCCTCATCATCATCATGATGTCGTACGCCTCCTCCTCATCCTCAGCCTCGTCCTCCTGTAACTGGGCGTGTGTGTGTGTGCGTGTGTGCGTGTGCGGGCGGGCGGGCGGGCGGGCGGGCGGGCGGGCGGTCGGGCGGGCGTGCGCGCGTGCGTGCGTGCGTGCGTGCGTGCGTGCGTGCGTGCGCGCGTGTGCGTGCGTGCGCGCGTGAGTGCGTGCGTTCTGGGCTCCGAGATGCCGCGCAGGAGGGTGTGGCATGATGATGTCGAATCGCCATGATTCCGGAGGGGTGCCCTTCTCTTCTTCGCCATTTGGTCCCCTACATTGGGTTGGTTTTCGTTTGTGGCATCTTGACGGGGCCCTTGGCCTTCGGCGAAGGGGCTTGTGTTCTTGGTCCATGTTATTGTGGCCATGTCGACCGTAGGCTTCGAGATCCCCTTACCTGTGGTGGTCCGGACAGGCCCGCCGGACACATCTTTCCAATTATGCTTCGGAGGTGCGACGCACGAGGTGGTTCGGCCAGTCTCGCCTGAGACATCTTCGCATCCCTGGGATCAAAGATGCTTCGGCCTGAGGTGGTCCAGCCACTTATTGCTTGGCACAGCCCCCATCTCTGGGCTCACAGATGCCCCACACGAAGCGCCCCAGCCGTTTTCGCTTGAGACCTCCTCGCAACTCTGGTTGCATTGATGACTTCACCTGAGTCTCGCCTGAGACATCCTCTGAACTTCGGGTTCAGAGATGCCGCGCACGAAGCGCTCCGGCCAGTCTCGCCTGAGACATCCTCGCAACTCTGGGTTCAGAGATGCCTCGACCTGAGGTGGTCCACCCAGTCTCGCCTGAGACATCCTCCCAATTCTAGACGCTCGCGTATCCCAATTCCTTCCGTAGCCTTTGGCTCAAGCCGTCTCTGGGCCCTGGCTCCTCGGCCGGGTCTCCCAGCTCAAGGGGTCATCCCCTAGGAGTTTGCGGGCCGCGCGCTGCCCCCCGGGCCGCGCTCCGGCCATATCAGACTCCCTGGGTTTCGCCCCTGCGGCGCGGCGCGGCAGCCTGCCCTAGGTCAGGCTTGGCATGGATGGGAGCCCGATCGACGACGGATGTAGGATTCCTGGGAATTCCGCGGGTGACGATGCAAGCCCAGTCGACGGCCAGGGGGCCCACGGACTGGCTGACTCAAGACATCCTCCCCCAGGATCACAGGACACCATCCCTCCAGGCCAGCCGTCGCCCCTCGCCCCCTGGGAACCTCCGAGCACGGGCGGTCCGAACGCGTCCGCGGACCCCTTGATCGCCCCCGTTGACGTTGCATGCGCACGAGAACCAATGGCCTTCAGCCAGACGGGAAGAAGGGGTGCCACGGTTAACGCCGCGCGACACACTGACATTGCGACCTTCATTCGCTTCCCTGGGTTTGACAATGACAGGAATGACGCCCTTCCGCTGGACTTGTTTCCCTCCCTTACCCCGACACTTCCTCTGCCCCTGGCTGGGCATCCAATTTCCTTCTCTCCTGGCGGTGAAGGGCAGAGCTGGATCGCCCATGGCGACACCAGGACCACGGGGGGCGATGGCCCCACTCCTGAACAAGTGCATCCCCCGACGGACCCAGGCCCACTCGGGCCGCGCAGGGGCGACCGCCAGAGAGACGCCCCCGACGATCGGCCCAGGGGCCTCTCCGACGAGGACGGGGGGACTAGGGTCGGGGCCACTCAAGAGGGGGACCGCGGTTGCGACAGGAGGGGGGGCGGACAGACGCCTGCCCTTGTACCCGATTCGCATCCTAGGGGCTTCGCCTCCTTTCCGCCGAGCCCCCCCCCCCCTGGACGCTTCAATGCCGAGAGAAGCAGCCTTCAGCTGCGAAAGGGGCCAACCCTCTAACTGTGGAGGACTGCGCCCCAGCCGCGCAGCCGACTCCCCCCGCGGACTTAAGCAGACGTCTAGACGGCTGTCGCCTCACGCCCGCCGCCCGCCTTGGATGTAGCAGTGTGGATCGCACAGAAGACGGGCCTTCAGCCCTTGGAGCGCCGTGCGAGACAGCAGATTTGAGGGGGGCTGCAGCTCGGGATTCCTCAGACGGACTGGTGGGCGCCGACGGCGACGCGGCGACCAGTCTATTCTCTGGTCACTTCTGTAATCCCGAGGACTCCTGTCAGCCGCCCGCCCCCCAGTCGGACAGCCACAGACGGGACGAGCCTTCAGCTCGGGATTCTCACGCGGGACGAGCCTTCAGCTCGAGGCCCCAAGGCGCATCGAGCAATCTCAGAAGTGACGAGCCTTCAGCTCGAGAAACAGGACAGCGCCAATAGACGTCGGGAACGCCGCAGAAGCTGCGACCACGAGCGGCGACGGGCGTCGCCGCGCGCCCGCCGCCCTTCCTGGACGCAGCAGTATGGTGCACACAGAAGACGGGCCTTCAGCCCGTGGAGCTCCGAGCGAGACAGCAGATTTGAGGGAGTCTGCAGCTCGGGTCGCCTCGAGCGGACTGTTTGGCGCCGACGGCGACGCTGCGACCAGTCAACTCCCTGGTCACTCCTGTAATCCCGAGGACTCTCGTCAGCCACCCGCCCCGCAGTTGGACAGTCGCGGACGGGGCGAGCCTGCAGCTCGGGATTCGCATGCGGGGCGAGCCTTCAGCTCCAGGCTCCAAGGCGTATCGGGCAACCTCAGAAGTGACGAACCTTCAGCTCGGGATCCAGAGACAGCGCCAATGGACGCCGAGAGCGCCACAGAGGCTGCGACCACGAGTGGCGACGACACCGACCCTCCTGGCATCCCTGGTGTACCCACTCAGAGCCTCCCCCATCGGGTGGATCCCCAAGCCAGCGGCGGGCGATCGACCGACCCCGCCGACGCAGGCATAGATCTGGCTCCGCAACGGGGCCATCCCAGAGAAGGCACGTCGAGGACCGCGAGGCAGGCGCTGCCAGCGGTACAAGCGGATCAATCGGCTGCCGCCCTGACTCCGCCGCCCCCCTCCCTTGGAGACATGGACACCGCCGCGGCAGCAGCGCCCAGTTCCCGCGCCGCTAACCTAACCGACGGGACTGGCCTTCAGCCAGGAAGAAGCGAGCAGGAGACAGCGGGGTCTGGCAACAGGAGGTACAGAGCGGCGCGCCCCGCTGCTGAAACGACCGACCGCGACCGACCTTCCTTGGGAACGACGACGGCGTTGTCCACGGGCCGACTCCGCACGCCCGATGCCAGCAGGGTCTCCGCAGACCCCGCCGGCGGGACAGGC